GTGTGTGCCTATTCTTAAAATGTTCCGGCGTGTTGCACAGAACCCCACCCTGTTTTGACTGGGCACCCTGGTACCTTTCAGATTCAATTCTTCCTTCGGTTGTACCTTCTGTCGACCCAGGCAGACCGCAGCGATGTGGCCTTTCTTTCCGCACGCTCGGCAAATGGCGGAACGGAACCGACATTCCGCTCGCTTGTGGTGTCCACCGCATCTGAGGCAACGAAGCTCAGCTGGGCCCTTGTCCTGATGATCTTTGGACCTCCTCCCAGCTGTTTGGTAAAGCTTGTCCACCTCTTCTTCAGGATCTTCTTCCGAATCCTCACGCACGTCTTCCTTGTGAATAGTGGCGGTCTCTGGAGCGCTTCGTTTAGGCCGCATGTTCTTGACCGCCCCACCTGCAGCTTCTTCAGCCGAAACCTCTCGCAGAGCATCTTGGAAAGAGACCTCTTCCCTGGTGAACAGCCTCTGTTGTAACTCTGTGTTCCTCAGTTCGCACACAAAGCGATCACGCAGTCTTTCCTCTAAGTCCCTGAAATCGCACGGTTTAGCTGCTCTTCTCAAGGCCGCAATGTAATCTTTTGCTGATTCCCCAGCTCGCTGATCTCTCTGTTGAAATGTGTGCCTCCAAGCCATGACAGATTGCTTGGGCTGGAAATGTTCCTTTAAAACTTTCTTCAGATCGGCGTATGATACCGTTTCCAGCGAGTCCGGGGCGATTAGGCTCTCGGCGATCTCAAAGGCGTCTTGCCCACAAACGCACAACAACGTGGCAGCCTTTAAGCCTTCCTCCCGTATCTGGTTTATGCGGAAGTACGTCTCGACTCTTGCAACATAAGATTCCCACCTCTCGGGGTGAGAGATGTCGAATTCCGCTAAACGCCCAACTTTCACCATGATCGAGGATCAGGGTCTTCTTCAGCCGCACGCACCCTCCAGCGATTTCGTACTGGCAGGATAACGCTGACTTCCACGCCGTTTTCCTCTTCTGGACTTCTTTGGGTGAGTCTTCAAGCTTTCCTAGCTGTATAGACTGAATCCCACCTTCGTCGCCAGTGTTAAGTCCGGAGAATAATGGCGCTTGAGACGAAGCATTTCTAACAAGTCTTTATTCTCTGCTTCCATTCTACGAACAACCCGAGCAGAGGCACGCAGGCCTCTATTTATACCTTCTGATCCCCGGGCAAATCCAACCAATCATAAGGCAGCCTTTTCCCGCCTTGCGCATGCGCACAAGGCCGGCGCCACTCAGTCTGGTCCCAGGCAGCTTTTGCAAATGCCCGGGACTCTAGCAACGTCCCGAGCCTGCTTTTGCAGGCTCAGGACACAACACAGGTACATTATTTTTTACCAACCCTTTCTCTTCTGTAGGCTATCTCTCCTTTAAACCCTTTAAGAAACTTGAGTTGCCATTCAAACAGGGATTATATAGTCCTGCTCTGGAAATAGCAGTGTTCCAATCTCTAAGGAACTGCCACAAAGAGGAGGGGATCAACCTATTCTCCAAATCACCTGAAGGCAGGACAAGAAGCATTGGATGGAAACTAATCAAGGAGAGAAGCAACCTAGAACTAAGGAGAAATTTCCTGACAGTTAGAACAATAAACTAATGGAATGGCTTGCCTCCAGAAATTGTGAGTGCTCCATAACTAGAGGATTTTCAGAAGAGATTGAACAACCATTTGTCTCCATTAGTATAGGATTTCCTGCTTGAGCAGGGATTGGACTAGAAAACCTCCAAGGTCCCTTCCAACTCTGTTTTTCTGTTATTCAGTTAAATGACTAGTACTTCTGTTTTTTTGGTAAGGCCTATTTACTTCCCTTCCTGCATTATAGCGAAGGAGAAGTAGTCAGGAGGGCCCAGTGGTGGATAGAAAGTCAGCTACCACCACATTTTTTTGTCCAGAGGTTGCTTTTGCTATAGTTTTCCTTTCATCTTTCAATTATGAAGCATCCATCATTACCATTTTAGGTCTCTATCACTTGAACACTCTATAGCTCATTTGAGTTCAAGAGAGGAAGAAACAGAAGAACAAAGTTTTCACTAGTTTTGAGACAAAAATGAAGAGCAAATCTCGGGTCTGAGGCAGCTTCTCAGAGAAACTGTAAGATCAAACTGAGAAGTTGGACTCTGCCTACTTGAAACCTCCTCTCTATGAGACTCAGGAGAAGATTATGTTTTCAGAAAGATGGATAGCAACCCCTCCCCCATATAAAATATAGAAGGATACAAAGATCTTTATCTACATGTTTACATATGTAAACTTGCATAACTCATGTTTTCAACTAATTGTGTATTTTTAGTTTGGAAGTATCACAGCTGTTGGATAAAATATAGAAAGTCAACAATATTTCGTTACAATTTTTTTTTTAAAATCATACTTCTTCTTACCATGTTGTATACTTCCCTGTTCTTATAACCATAGTCATAATATTTAAATTCCACAGAACGTATAATCTAAAAGGAAATGAAACTATTATCCACAATTTAAAAATTAATTATGAAATCTTAATTTGAAGAAATATTAACATGGTAGATATATAGATATACAGTATGCACAAAATCTTTCATCTGGAATATTATAAAAAAAATACAAAGTTGTTTAAAAGAACAAAAACAATAAACAGTGAAAATAATATTTACTATTTTATTTTTTATTTTACTAAGTAAGATAATAGCATAAAGAATAAATTTTAAAATATTAGACATGTAAAACTAATAAAAGGAATGAACCCAAATGTAATGTGAAATATTAAATAAAAAATAAAAATTCTTTAGGAGATAAGGAATGTCTTAGATTAGTGCTGAACAGACTTTCACATGGGAACTAAGTATAGTGAAAGAAGGATTTCAGGAAATAAATTCCTCCTAGTTTTTGGAAATTTATTTTTATTGTACAAATGATAAGATGGGCCCATACATGTCTATATATCCTAGATTTAATCAAATTTATTTATCCAATTTATATAACCACATATCTCAGAACTGTGACTCTAAGCAGTTGTACAATAAAAACAATTATTTTTTTGCCATTGTGCGTGATGGCGGACCTGCTATTTTCGGCTCCGTAGTCTCCGCGGGGGTTCTCGGCGGAGATGGGGAGCCCTCGAAGGTCCGGGGGTGCTCGCCGGCTGGAGTCTCGGTAGGAGAAGAGGGTCGGCGAGCGAAGAAGGCCCGCTGCACCCCGCGGAGACCGCCGAGACCATCCGGGCAGGGCCGCGAGCGGAGGGGCGGAGAAGCCGAGCGGAGAGGCCTGGTGTCTTGGGGCCTAGCGGCCGGGAAATTGGCGGCCGCGAGCGGAGTGGCGGAGCAGCCGAGCGGAGAGGCCTGGCGACTTGGGGCCTAGCGGCCGGGAAATCGGCGGCCGAGAAATCGACGGCCGGTCGACTCGGGGCCTAATGGCCGGGAAAATCGGCGGCCGGACGGCTCGGGCCTTAACGGCCGAGAAGATCGGCGGCCGGGCGACCTGGGGCCTAGCGGCCTGGAATATCGGC